ATAACTATAATTCACCTTTGATGATATAAAATTTAAATTTAATTATTTTAAAATAAGTATATATTAACTTACAAAATTTTTCTAGCGATTTATGTAAGTAAACTAACAATCAAAGTTGATATAATAAGCATTTAAAATAAATTATACTAATTAAGTAATTTTAATGATTAAAAAATTTATTATTCATTCCGGATCTAAGCATTGTATATATAAATATGAGTATTAATTAACAAATGATTAAAAATCTTTAAATATACTATTTTATATTCCGCACTCTCTCGAACATCCTTGAACTTAATAATTTTCAGTCAACCATACAAATTCACAAGATGGAAAGAGTAAGGTAAAAGAATTTAGGTAAACTACACATTTAATTGTTTAACTATTTGTTTTATTTGTTTAATTGCTCAATATTTTTTTGTTTCAAAGTATACCTGATATTATTTTGATCACTCACCATTAAAAATTAACAATGGTAATGTAATAACGTGTCACATAAGGTATTGCCATATCATCATATTTTTTTTTTTTAAATAATGCCACACATCATCATTATTTCCCATAATATAACAATTTTGTTAATTTTTTAAAAATAGGTGACAAAATGAAACAAAACTAGTTATGCATAATTTAAAAAAATAATTGAATAAAAACAGAACAAAAAATGGTAGTGGGTACTAACATATGTTTACCCAATAATATAGTAATATTTTAACAAAGGTGACTGAGGTAACATACTAGCTCTTTGGCTTGTTGGGTTTTGGGATACTGGGAAAAGAAATAAAGTTAACAGATTCGATCCAATCAAACTGAATGAAAAAGATTATTATTTTAGAATAATACCCTCAAGAGTTTAGAACAACAAATGGAGCACTTACAAATGCCCAAATACTTCCTATAGGTTACTAGATTTTCATCAAATTTAAGTTTACAACAGCTAACCTGTAAGAATAAGAAAAGGCAGGAAGCGAAATTTCACAACTAACAAATGATTCCTAATTGATTCATCCTTCGAAGCATCTTTGCACTGAGATTATAAAGACCAGATTCCAGTGATAAAATAGTCTTATCGGATCTTTAGTCCGTCTCAGAAAGCCAAGGGAATCAACAGTAGAGATCAATCGGCAGGTAACTTGCCATGTATGTCATAGACAGTCCATAAATACGAAAACGAATTGCTCACCAGCGGCTGTCAAAATGAATGCCCTCAGGAATAATTTCATGAATTTAAGCCACATAGAGGAGAAAGAGGAAAGAAGGATCAACCATACTGCAAATGAACTGGGATGAACCTGAAAGTGATGAAGTCGCAAAAGGGCCAGTACATCACACCATTTAACATTGTAGGAAGCGTCGCTTTAACCTGAAACGATTTCTTCACCGCTTTCACCTACACAACAATCCGCAACAGCTTAACAAAGTACTTACATCGATTATTTCTTGAACGTGCATGGTAAATGCATATGACTCCTAGTTGAATCACAAATATGGCTATAAAAAGGTTATGCACGAGTAATAAACTTCATACACCGATGCAATTCGTGTTTTTCAAATATAAAATTGGTGGAGCAAATAAGTAGTGACAAATAATCAGCATAATAGAGTAACTAGAGGATCGCAACGACATTCAAGGTAAGGCAGCATAATAGCAGTAGTTAATGAAAGCAAACGTGTTTATCTCATGACATGCAAGGAATGTAAGGAACATACCTTGTAGACGAGCATTCAACGAGAAGAAAACAACGGTCAATGGTCCAAAAAGTAGCCCCATGGCCATTTTCTTGAAAGTAGTGATCAAATCCTCTTTGGAAAGAGTTTCGACACAAGTGAACCAGAAATGCAGTGACGGTCCTAATATCAACAACCATATCCAGCCATTCGCGACGTCCTCACCAAATCATAAGGATCCGCAGACGACTTCGAAATTGTCTGACCATAGAATTCCATATTAAAAACATAAAAAAGATGCAGGTCCTGACTCCTGATGCAAGTAATTACAAAGGCTAAATGTATAGTTCATAATCAAATGCAGGCAAACTATAGTCCATAGTGTTATACTTATATGCATACACCACATAAGGAAATTATAATGTGTAAGAAATGCCGACAATGAAACTAAACTGAATTATACTTTACACCAGAGAACAAAGTTCGAATGATAATTAGACAACAAAATACCCGATAAATTAATATATCGTTTTTGTAATGAATTACTACATGGTATTGTTTAAGCATAAAGTAAAGAAATTGTAATGCCTTTATGTTCTAAATGCTTATTTTCAGTATAAGACAGTCATATTTTACTTGTCAAAAACTCAACATGGTTTGAAATGCATCCTTTTCCAGGGAAAAAGTGAAGTTTCCAGCCAACCCAGAGGATTTTCTTTTGTTTTCCTCCCCTTTCTCATCAGCCAAACAGAAGTCAAATACAAAGTTTTCACCTTTCAATTAAACAAACCCCATGTTTAAATCCTTTAAAGAAAAAAGGATTACCTGAGCAGACAAATCAGCAGCTGTATAAATAAGCGAGGAAGTAACGCTTTTCGTTAAAACGGGCCACGACTTCACCATACCTAAATACCATCCAACAAACCCAACCTTACCAAACGACGTCGTGGAAGACGACGACGAGAAGAAGTGAAAGCGAAGGGGGGATCTCATATTCTCTCACTTTCCGTAACACGTTCGGGAACCGAAAATACTCTCTGGTTTGGGTCTGCGTTTGGTTCCTAAGAAACGGACGGATGTTCACCGAGCCAGCTAAGTCGGGTTGCTTCCGTAAGAAGCGGGTGAGGCTACCAAATCTACGCAAAGAACCGCTCATGTGTTTCCTTTCTCTTCTGGGGCGTCTTTTGTTTTTCTTTTTCAATGGCGTCGGGTTACCGTTTTCTTTTCTTTGAAGCTTTTAGAGTTTTGATCTTTGACAGGGTTTAGCGGTGGTTTTAATAGTAAAAGAAAAAAAAGTGCTTTTGTCTTAGTTTTTTTATAAAATACATAAATGGTCCCCGAATTATAAATACTATATATTGAGTCTCTTAATTATTAAAAATTATAAAATAATCCTTTGACTACATGGAGTTGCTTTGTTGAATCCCTTAACTATTAAAGTTACAAAATAATTACTCGACTATTCATTATGTTCCAAATTCGTTCTTTTTTGTTAAAAAATTAACGACAATTTAAGCTGAAAATTAACCTACTGACTGATATATGATAAAATATGATATCATAATCTCCAACGATTATCATATCTCAATCAACATGTTAACGTCCAGTTTAAATTACTGTTAATTTTTTTAAAGAAAAAAGACGAGTATATAACTTAATGAATAGTTGAGTAACTGTTTTACAACTTTTAATAATTGATGGACTCATCAAAATAACTTCTTATAATTAAAGGAACATTTTGTAATATTTAATAATTAGAGGACCATTTGTATAATTTACTCTAATTTTTTATTATAATTTTGGCTGCTGGTATTTGGTCTTTGAGAGGGTCTTTTTTTTTCAAGAATGTTTCCGCGAGTAGTCAATTCCGTCGTACTCGCTTCTTTACATATGATTATGAAGGAACAGGTAGCTGTGACAAATAGGTTTAATTATTTTTCTAGGTCCTCTACTCTTTTAATTCCATACTCCCATGAATTTAATTCATTTACCTTTTAATTACTAATCCAATAAGATGATATTAATTTATTGAAAAAATTCCACGCCAGCTGTCGTTATTCAGATAAAATGTTAACAGTTGAGTAACGATTTTATTAAAAATCAATAATATTAGTGATCGTAGTGTAATTTTAAATGTTCCATGGTTAAAACAGAAATTTATCCAAAATTTAGTGAATGCACCATAGTTTTATGGATAAACAATACATTTAGTATCCCAAATATCATTTTTATTCTATTTTGGTCACTCAATTATTTTTTGTTTCAAAAGCATAACTAACATTACATTTTGATTTTATTTTAGTCATCGTAAGATTATACCACATAATCATTGAAAATTTTTAAAAAAATTATATCAATAGTTTTATTAATTTTTTAACAATTGGTAACCAAAATGAAATCAAATAACATTAGGTATGTTTTTTTAAAATAGTTAAGAGGCTAAAACAAAACAAAAATGATAGTTGGAGCAATAAATGTGTAAGTTTACCTTAGTTTTGATTTGATTTAATGAATGGATGGATATATTTGCGAGTGAAATGAAATAGTGAAGGTGCAGCGCGTAGTTGGGGTTGTCGTGTTAGAACATATTCGAATGCTCTCCATGAGTTTGGCTTCTTAATTAGTTAATTATTTATTGACACGACTGCTTCTCCCTTTCTTTTAACGCCACGTTTTTTTTTCTAATTACACGTAACCAGTCGGCCTTCAGAGTTGACCTTTACAGTTACGTGCCTCCACTTTTGTTTATTTGAAGTAACTGTCCCTTGGATTTTTGCTTCTTCCGGTTTGGTGTTTGGATCCTTTGCCAGATTGAGTGCTGATCAAATAATCAAAATATGTTGAGTTTCGACATAGTCCATATATGCTTGTGCCTTCCAGCTTAGTGTTCATATACTTTAATCTCGAATTCAAGGATGATAAAATAATTTAATTCATCGGGTTCTAATTTCAACTTAACTATACAAGAGCATTTAAGAAAAATTGATGTTTGAAGGTGATGCATTGTGTTACACATCAAAGGGAGGTGAAGACATTGATCCCATACCGATAAGAAAATGAGATCCTAGAGTATAAAACCAACATTACAAGTACTAACGAACATTTCTTTTGGACAGAATGCAATAACCCAATAACAATTGCATGCTTTCAATTAAAAGTTGAGTCAAGTTCAATGGAAGTAAACATATATCTTTTCACCAAACGATGGGAGTTTCATGCAAGTCCCACACATCACATTAGGTTTAAGCATTTCCACATACGTTCATTCACAGTTGCAAAGACAGATGCAAGTAAAAGCAAGTAAAAAAGAAGAGAAAGAAAAGGTACACACGAAAGCAAGACTCAGACTCACCACATTAATTATAACCCCAATCAAGTAGCAAGTTCGAGTCGATTCAACCGACATCCGTGACCAAACATCATGACAATTGCAACATTAAATCATCGAGCTTACAGGCTTGTGAAAGAAATTTTAAGGAACTAATTCACATAACCAAGGACAAGATATACGCATGCTACAAGCTGTATCAACTTCCCAGTTCGATGTGCTACTTTCTAAGATGAGGAAAACATGCGTATAGATCGGATTTAGGATGCCTTGCCTCGCATGCTCCCGGCACTTCACTTCTGTTGTGGTACACATGAATGTTTGCATGCAAACCTTGCACTGTATCGGCCACCATAACCGACCAGAAAACAATATCAGAGTAACCAATGGGTAAGCCAACAACCAAAAAAAACAAGTAACGTTCTGTCAATGAACTTAATCGAATGAGTCTTAACTCAATTTAATGTATAGAACTAATTATACGATGACTGAAGAAAATCAAAGATAAGAAAGATTATTCGAACGCTACAAATTGGCTTCACTTTCATGCATCAAAGTTATATATATATAACACAACAACGGCTGAGCCAAAAACAAAGGCTTAAATAGAAAAGTAAATATCCAAATTTTATCCTAAATTAATTTTAAGTATCTAAAGATTTTTTTTTTATCAAGTGTCTAACACTTCCAACTTTACTCTTTTAAGTGTCTACACTGCAACGACTATTAATAAAAACCGTAATGATTTGAGTGGCCATTTGGCATTTAATCCCAACGCTACTTGAAACGACAGAAGAGTTATACTCTATTTAGTGCATTGGCACCAACACAACAACGGTAGCAAGAGGAATTTAGGTTTTTGGTATTATGTTAATTTTAGAAATTAGATTTTTTAATAAAAAAATATAAACGTAACATAGCCAAAGAGTAGCATTGAAATATGACTTAGGCAGTTAAAAAGTAACATTGAAAACGTGACTTAATGATCTTTGTATTAAGTCTTAATAAACAAGTAGCAGTTCGAGTCGATTCAACCGACACCGTGACCAAACATCATGACAATTGCAACATTAAAATCATCGAGCTTACAGTGTGAAAGAAATTTTAAGGAACTAATTCACACATAACCAAGGTACAAGATATACGCATGCTACAAGCTGTATCAACTTCCCCAGTTCGATGTGCTACTTTCTAAGATGAGGAAAACATGCGTATAGATCGGATTTAGGATGCCTTGCCTCGGCATGCTCCCGGCACTTCCTTCTGTTGTGGTACACATGAATGTTTGCATGCAAACCTTGCACTGTATTCGGCCACCATAACCGACCAGAAACAATATCAGAGTAACCAATGGGTAAGCCAACAACAAAAAAAAAACAAGTAACAGTTTGTCAATGAACTTAATCAAATGAGTCTTACTCAATTTAATAGTATAGAACAATTATACGATGACTGAAGGAAAATCAAAGATAAGAAAGATTATTCGAACGCTACAAATTGGCTCACTTTCATGCAATCAAAGTTATATATATATATAACACAACAACGGCTGAGCCAAAAACAAACAGGCTTAATAGAAAAGTAAATATCCAAATTTATCCTAATTAATTTTAAGTATCTAAAGATTTTTTTTTATCAAAGTAAGTGTCTAACACTTACAACTTTACTCTTTTAAGTGTCTACACTGCAACGACTATTAATAAAAACCGTAATGATTTGAGTGGCCATTTGGCATTTAATCCCACGCTACTTGAAACGACCAGAGAGTTATACTCTTAGTGCATTGGCACCAACAACAACGGTAGCAAGAGGAATTTAGGTTTTTTGGTATTATGTTAATTTTAGAAATTAGATTTTTTAATAAAAAAATATAAACGTAACATAGCCAAAAGAGTAGCATTGAAATTATGACTTAGGCAGTTAAAAAGTAACATTGAAACGTGACTTAATGATCTTTGTATTAAGTCTTAATAAATTTAAATAAACAAAAAATAAATTGGGATGAGTAGATGTCTGGTACAATGAGAAAACTAACTATACGGGTCAAGTGATTCATCATTCATGGAACTCGTTGTTAATATGAAGAGTTCCAAATTTTTATGTCTGGATTATTTGGCCAACAAAGTCCATTCGCAAGTATAATTTCAAGCAGGGAATCCAGGCAATAAATTCCAACGCTAAACAATTTAATCTAAGAACCTGTAAGCCAAAAAAAAAAAACTCAACTGCAGATACAAAAGCCAACTACATGGATATTAGCCCAGGCAAGCTTCAAATATATTTAGTAAAGAAACCTGCCAGCATAGCCAAAAGAAATTCAACCCAAATACCGATTTCTGGTCTAGATGAATAAGGAAGCAAAAAAGTAAAAAAAAATCATAAAGTATTGGGGGGAAATAAAGATCAAGCAAAAATCAGTGTTAAATCTAACAAATAAAAAAGAAACCAGAGTATGCCAAAATACTACCTGGATGGTCATGGCCTTCTTGTTAGAGTCGAGCTGGCTTCCTATCAAAACAAAAGTAAAACAAGGATAGGTCTATGATCAACATATATCTAATCAAAAAGGCAATTATTTTATTTTAAAAAAAGAGAGAGAAATAAACAGGCAGATAAGAGATGGAAAAAGGAGAAAGTTTGCAAAACCTTTGCCGGCGGCCTTTTGCTTTTCCAAGTTCTTCTCACGAGCCATCTTGGATTTTGGGCATTTCCTCCTCCATGGCGGATTGATTTGATTAGAATCAAAAGGGATTTTGAGGGTTTTGAAGAACTTGGAAAAGGATGAGCTCTTCCAAGGCAAAGGGAAATGGAGGAAAGTAGAGGGATAGTGACACTTAAAGAGAATGGAAGCGGTTTAAAAGGGTTAAGATAAAAATATGGGTAAACAAAACCATTAAATGGCACCTAAATTTTTGAAGACATGCATCTTAGCCCTCGACTATTAATTCTCGTTAATTCTTAATCAAAGTTTGAGTTCATAATTTAAAAAAAAAATCTTTCTTGTTCTTCTTCCACCATAACCTGCAAAAAATCATCGGTGTTAACAAAATGAATTCATGAATTTGTTTTCAATTCATAATATTTATGTTACCATGACATCTTGTGACGACTTACCATACACCTAAATCAAGATTACATTTAAGCACGGATCAAGTGATTCCGTAGTAAAGAAATTATATTATTTCTTGAAGAACTATTAGTATTGATGTCAGGGGTGTGAACTTCAATGTTGAGAAGTTGAGAGTTATCTTTAAACATATACTACTATACTTGCATCAAATTAATAAAAAAATATTTAAGCATTGATTTTGAGACAATCGATCATGCAATCTCATGACTGACGATCTACTTAAAAAATCCAAGTGTTAAGATGTTTTTTGTAATATGTTTTATTGATTTATAATTTATCGTAGTATTTCATATCTTGATTTCTTTTATGGTTTGTTTATCGATGCGATTATGATTGTTTCGTTTCTACATCTTATTCGAGTTTATTTGGTTAAATTTTTAACATTTTCCTGCTGATCATTGGTGATCTTAAATGGTTAATTTCTTGTATTAATTATTATAATAAAATATCATAATGAGTTTAATTTACGGTCATAATTATAAACTTTTATTATAATTGAATATTTTTTATTTTTAATAAAACTAAAGAATTTTATCTTATAAAAAATATAAATCAGTTCAAACAAAATTAAAGATGGTCAATTTGAGAGTACTTATACATACTTTTTAATTTAATTGATTTTAAATTCAGAGTTATGAGTATATATGTATATTATTTTTCTAATATTATTAAATTTAATCTCTAAAATACAACTTGAATTGATCAGTAGTATTTTTTTTTATGAGCAAATGATATTACAGCACACACGCACCCCATGGGAAAACACCTATGGTCGACATTCTTTGCTTTTCCTTTTCTCTTTACAGATAAAGTATAATGTTATGTTTCTTAAAATCGAACTTATTCTTGATAGGGATACAATTTTAAATACAAAAACCGCGCTTCCAAAGCATTATATAACCTAGCTCCTTAATCATCCATAGACACTAAAATTTGAGTCCTTTGTAGGGTTTTATAAGAACTGTTTTGCATGGGAAGAGCTGCTTTTACCAAACTAAGATTTTAATGCTAAGGTACGCAAAGTTATTATTATTGTTGGTCATGTTTTCTTTTATCATTATAAAGTCATTTGTAGGGTTTTATAAGTTTTTCCCCTAACATAAAATTTTACGTCATGCGGTTCCTTGCCTATAATTTTATTCGAGAGTCATGGATGAAACTGGGGTGCAGGAAGCTAAGCGAACTAAGCGACCTTTGAGCAAAATGATGGGGCAGACCGGGAGATCATTAACAAGTGCAACAGTAACGACGGTATAAAGGGTTCACCGAGCTGGGTTCCACATCCAAAGAGTGGGATATACTTCCCTAAAGGTCATGAATGGGTGATGGACGATGTTCCTGACCAGGCAACTTCTTTCGGCCGGAGTTTTTGGGTCAGGAACAGACGGTGTCGATAAACCGGAGATCGATGAATTACCATTCCACGGCGACCACTATTTTCATGCAAATATGTGATGACCAAACAAATTAGTCATTAACAAGAGTGAGTTAGTAAGAGTTTATGAATTGAAATATTTTGGCATTAGCAGCTGAATTATCTATGCTGGTCTTTAATGATAATACATATGAATTTTATTCTCATGTTAAGATATTTAAAGTTGTATTATATTTAAATAAAATTTAATTAATATGTTAATAATCAAACATAGATTTAGATCGTGAACATATTAACCCGGAATATATACCCAAATTATCAAAGCTGCAACAAAAATTGAAATCTAACTGAAATAATTCAATCTCAAAATAAGTAGAATTTAACATATTTCAAACTTAAAAGACACAACTTAAAATACTCAAGTTTAATCATGAATAACTTAAACATGAATCATTTGAATTTAAATTTAGCCCAAATAAAATAGGATAAACTACACATTTAGTATAAACTATTACTTTTGTTCACTTTTAGTACCTAAACTTTATTTTTTAAACCATACCTAACGTTAGTTTAAATTTTAATTTGATACCTCGTCGTTAAAAAATTAACAGAATTGCTAACGTGGCATTTTTTATTTGTCAGTGAAGATGTGTCATTTTCTTATGGTGACACGTCAATATCACCGTTTAAATTTTTAATGGCATAATATCAAATTGAAACCTAAACTAAACATTATGTATGCTTTTGTCTTTATGTCACTCTTTCTTTATCTTCTGACAAGTTTTTAGTCTTCTTTATTAATCGTTTGGTCGTTCTTTTCGTTTACTTTTCTCAGTATTAGATTTGACGTCACATCAACTGATTAAGATGACGCTTATTTGTTATCATGGTGATCTTTCACACTTTGGACACTTAAATTGGATTTGGATATGTCATTTGCATTTGGGGATAGTTTTCTAACTATAATTGACTTTGATTTTCAATTTTCTATGATCTTTTAATAGTTTGATCTCATGTTATGGTTCATTATCAATGCAATCATTATTTGTATCTATCTTTTGTTCAAGTTTTTTAGATGGGGTTTTAACTTTTTTTCTTGTATGATCATTGTATGATCTCAAGTGACTAGTTTCTTGTGTTAATGATTATAGAAAATATTCTAATTATATATTTATTTTTGTTTATGGTTGTAAACTTTTATTATAATTTTGGATATTTCCTTTTTTTTAAATAAAATTAACTCCTACTATTTGCATAAAAAATACGATATTTACATGTATTTAAAACTTGAATGATGTGCTTTAAATATGATTACATTAATTTCAATCTACCATTTTATCACCTATTAATGACTAAATTAATAGAAAAACCTCATTGACTATTGATACTTTGAGAATGCACGACTAAAACATTTTGAAGTTTCGGACTAATTCAAAATATGCACCATAATATGGGGGTGTCCTGCGAGTTAACCCTATTTATAAGGTGGTGGTTTATTTAGCATTAAAACTGATTCTATTTCTTTTTTTATTCCGTTCTTTCGACGCAAAGGGCTATCGATTTTTCTTCGCAGCAAATTTCCCCGGCGTTTCCTCGAAGAATTCAGTAGTTTCTCTCTATTTTCTTTCTCGTAATCCAAAATATAATTTGAAATTTGGAAGGTATATTTGATTAATTTTTCGGTTAAAAAAGAGAGAGATTTTTAATCCGGAAATCAGTTCAAAAATAATTTGGGTTTTCATTTCTTTTGAGATTAAGTAAAGGGTTTTAGTTGAATGACAAGCGCTTCGGAGTATTCTACACTCGAAGGTCGAGAGTAGGCCGACCTGATCCGGATTCTGGGATTGGATCCTCGATGGAACGGAGTTACCATCGCCGAATCATCTCAGTCATCATAATAACAGGCATGATTTGGACGATGGCGATTCTCTCCGCCGGTCTTCCCACGTGCGCCACTTCAGCTCGCGTGCTTGCTCCCTCTCTGTACGCTCTATTTTTCAGTTTCCCATTTACCTTGTTCCCGACACTATTTATTTATAGGTTGCTGAGAAATAGAGATATTAAAAGAAAATATGTTAGTTTGAGTATTTTTGAAATGTAAAAAAATTGCAAGTTTAACTTTGAAATTGAAAATTGGATTTAACTACTTCGTTGTATTGGTTGTATGTTTTATGCTTCAATGTTGAACTCTGCTCTGAAATTCAATAGTCTTAAGTTAAACTTATCATTGGAATTACTGAAAATAGTTTTACAAATATTGATAATTTAACTAAACCCTTAGCTCACTTGCAATAAAATTTGGACACCAACCTATACAAGAACCGACGTGATAGTTTGATGTTTTTTTACCTGTTTTTTATAATTTATCTTCCCTCGCCTGACTCACTTATATTTGGATGTATTGAGATTGTATCATTACCTATCATTATTGAATATTGAGTCTCTGGATAATTCTGTATTGAATATGACTTTTTCAGGAGAGATCATCACTGCAGTTTGATGAATATAAGTGAGCTTGCGTCGAGCAATGGGTTAAATGTAGACAGTGTTAGCAGTTCAAGAAGGCAAAGTCTTGTATCGCGCAATGTGTTAAATGCAAACAGTGTAAGCAGTTCAAGAAGTCAAAGTCTTGTATTGAGCAATGGGTTAAATGCAGACAGAGTAAGCAGTTCAAGAAGACAAAGTTTGAGATCAAATGAGAGGCTTGCAAGAGCAAGGTTTGATGAAGGTACCAGCGAGCTTTTATCTAGCAATGGTTTAAATGTGGATGGTGTAAGCAATGTAAGCGGGCGAAGTTTGAGTGCAGATGAAAGGCTTCCTGGAGCTGTGCTACTTGCAAGAGCAAGGCTTCTTGAGCGACTGAGGGGCGTGTCTGTTTCTGCAAACAGGTTGGTGCTTAGAGCTCTCTGCAAGTTTGAAACTCATACATTTCGCATTTCTCTTCCTTGGATTTTGCCAGTTATTATTACTCGTCAAAGTGCAAGAACAAGTAAATTATAGTAGCTTTTGGATTATGTTCTAATTTATATTGAATACTTATATTCTGCATGATCTTTGACGTCATTTGGAAGCCTCTTTTATCCATGACGGTGAACTTACCTTTGGCACTCTATTTGTTCTCGCTACTCTAGTTGGACCAAACATATCCCGGCTATTCTTGGTCTGATGCAAATTTCCTTTAAAACACATCAAACCTACAGTTTGTTTGTGAAGTTTGATGAATTGTATAGATGAATCTCGTGGAAATGTGTAAAGTATACCTGAATTATACTATGTTGCTCTT